GTTTTTTTTTTGAAACTTTATTATTTTTGGATTTTATTTATAAAAAAAATCTGAATTTTTTATGACTAAAATACCCACCGTGTTTGCACGCAATTACATGCTTATCCGTTTCTGTTTGCCAATGTGTTGACCTGGTATTGCAAAACGGAGGAATCCGAGGTTTGATTTTTGTCGTCTAGCACTCTGGGCAGTTTGCTATGCTGCCTGGAACTCTTTCACTTGGACTGTTACGGAACTTTAATTGACGGTCAAGTGCATGATTCTTTTCCAAAATTACACATCAAGCCATTACAATTCATTCTTCCGAAACTACCCTCGAAACGTTTCTGAAATACCGAGGAAGCCAACTGGCTTTGGAGGAACTCGTGGGGGTATTTCTGTAAGGGAGAATAGCTGATTGTTGATGACGAAACCGGTGCCAACAACCTCGGTCGCATGTCCGAGAAGTGGCGGGGGAAGATAGAAGGGAGAATCTATTGACCTTCCATATTAACTTAAATTGACGAAATTGCCATTGCAGTGTCCTGTTTTTTACGACCGTCGAGTGTTGTCTGTTGAGAGTTGAGACGGTTGGTATCCCCGAGTTTGGACTTTTCCTCAATTTTCTCGAGACGTTGATCCGCAATTTAAGGGGAAAGTGACGGAAATTTATTGCTTAAAATAAAAAAATAAAATTTATGATAGATATTTACTTTTTTAATATTAAGAACTCAAATTTAACTCTCATATATATTTTTTTTATTACCATTATATCTGTCTTTTTTTTTCCCCCAATTATATGGAATTTTTAATCATTTATATTTAATCACTATAAAATATTTTTTCGTTTGTAAAATTAATAAATTTGGTAAAATTTAAATCAACAATATTAAATTTTTTTAATATTACATATTTTACAACGTCTAGCTAATATATTTGAACATTTTTTTTAATATTTATTGGTCATGGCTTATTTAATGAAAAATTATCAATGTTTATTTATAGTTATTAATAGAAAGAAAATCTCGTATACCTTAAATTTATATTCTTTAATTTATACAGTAAAAATTTAGATTTTTCATGGTAAATTATTCAGCAAATTAAATTGGATAATTGATCATATATTATAGTAATTTTTAAGTAAATTAAATAAATTCTTAAAAATAATTTTGTACACCAAACATAAATCTATATGCTTTAAAAGGCTGAACATGAGGGGTAAGTTTCAAAACTATTTTTCAACTAAAAACACTTAAACATTAGCCATATATACGTACAATCTTTTCTTTTTACACCATGCACAGTAAATATGGGGTCCATTATCATGCACAATTAACATCAACTAAGCGGGGTCGTTTGAGTTCGGGCAAACTGATTTAGCTACGCCAGACCAACACATCAAATGTAACACCCAAGTGTTATTATTTTTATTTTTTAATTATTTAAATTTTTAATTAATTAAATTTAATTTAATTTCATAAAAATAAAAATAATAATAATGATAAAATTTGGTAAAAATATTATTTGGATTTAATTGAAATTGATTTTGGAAAAATGGGTGAAAATTTAGATTCTGGGGGTGTTTTTGAAAAGAAAATCAGAAACTAGGGGTCAAAACGCAATTTAAAAAAGTTGTGCCACGTCAACACCCACATCAGCAGCCACGTCAGCGGCCCAGTCAGCAGTCCCGGCCAACTAGGACACGCCGCGTGGCAAGGAAACGCTGACTAGGGGACGGGCCACGTGGGCGATCCGCGTGCGCGCGATCGGACGGCCCAGATCAAATGTGCGCACGGACGGCCCAAATTCACGTGCACGGACGGTCCAGATTGCATCGCGATGGACGGTCTAAATTTAATCCCAATTAAATCACGATCGAACGGTCCATATTTAATCTTGATAAACGGTTGAGATTAAAAGTCAAATGGTATAAATAACCCCACCCACACCTGACCACAGAAACCCTAGTCGCTAGTGCCTCGCCGGAGAAGAAGAACCAGACGCCGGAGGAGCCGGCCGCCGCCGCACCAGGGAAGTTTCCGACTGCCGATCGAGGTAAATTTTCTCCTCCTTACTTGTTTTTCGATGCTGAGTCCGCTTATGGCAAAACCGGAACCAAACCACCAGCCAAACGGCCGGAAAACCCAGCCGAAGCCCAGCGGCGCCGCCGCGTCCCTCCTCAATTTTTGCCTCCGATGAGGCCCTTCCCGGCCTCCGTTCGATGCAAATTTTATACCACTGTGATCACCGTTCTTTTCTCTACAGGTTGATCGGAGCCAAACATCAAAACGCGACTCACGCCGGAGGAGCCGCCACATCCGAGAGCACCGCCGCCGGTAAGTCTCAATTTTTAATGATTTTTTGGCCCACCGAGGGCCCTATGGTTGTTTTATCACAGGAACCGATGCAAGTGTGGCCGAATTCGACCGAAAACGGATAACCCGAGCCGAATCGCCGCCGCTTGGCCGGAGCACGACGGAGCCGCAGTGCCGGAATTCTGATATTGGCCGAAAGGGGCCTTAGGTCTGATTTGGAATTTTTTGGGTCACGTGCAGGTACCGGTAGTGCTTTTCAGTTTTCCGAAAAAAATTCAAGAAAATTAGGGACAGCCCGTAGGCGCACTATAGAGTCGATTTCAGACCCCGAAACAAGTAAGGACCCCTCACCCTATTTCTTATCACGGTATTAAAGTTAAAAAAATAATTAAACTATACTGTGTAACTTTATAGATGTATAATTGATTTAGGTTGCCAATGGGGCCCGAGTCTGATACAGTGTTGGTCTGTTATTGTTTGATCTATTTTTCAGTATTAAATACAGCATGATGTCTGATGTATTTATTTTATGGTCCCGTATGCATGAATCATGGTTTCTTTTATTATAGTTGATATTATGATTAACCCGATACTGTGTTGTCTTGTTTGGTGTCAATTACTGGTTTACATGTTGTGTATGATTGGATGATTGAGACCAAGAAAAATGGCAAAAAGGTTATCTGAATTGATAAGTGAAAAATATGGACAGCCTGACTAGATATCCTGGGAGATGGTGGACGGACCGGGTCCGTAGGGAACCCTACCGGGAACGTGGTCTTTCATACCGGACGGGGTATGGAGACCTTATGTGTTTTAGCGCCCATACCGGACAGGTTATGGGGACGGCCCGTTTCACCCTCATACCGGACGGGGTATTGAGGTTCATGGTTTTTGCACCCATACCGGACGGGGTATGGGGACGGCCCTGGAATCAGGTTGTAGATGTTAATGGTTCACATGTAGCGGGGACCCCCTATGGATCCCCAGGGATACTAGTAGGCTGGTAAAAGAGGAAATATGTTTCATGATGATTGAAATGTAAAGGTGTGATATATGTTATGTTATAAAGTGTGTATGATTTCATGATATTATAAGGTTGTTGTTTTCATATGTTGTTTTCATGGATCTCGCCGAGGAAAGTGGACAGTAAATGATTCTATTATTGATAAATGAATTTGTTATAAATTATACTTCATTGGTCATTTTTATTTTCTACCCACCTTTACTTCCGTGGCGGTGAGATAGTGTGATGTCTTTACTGGGCTGGTGTAGCTCATTCCTTATTTAACCATTTCAGATCAGGAAGACATTGTTTCCGAGCCCGTTCCGCAGGAAGACGACGAAGGGGACGCCTAAAGACTCCATAGCTATATTTATAGTTCTTATTTCGAGTATCTCTTTTAGTTAGTTTGCTCTTTCATGTTTTGAGTATGTTTTGGTTATTGTGTAAGGGATGTTAATAAAAAATTTTATTACACTTCTGCATTTGAGATTTTTAATACATATATTTCATTTAAATTTTCGGGGCCTTTACAGTTGGTATCAGAGCTGCGTTCCTCGGACCCATCTCTTACACAATAATGCTTAGAAAAATATTCACCGATAAATCGTTACTCAACCATTCCTTATGAAATGCAGGTGCAGAGAGATGCGGAGAGGAAGACCCCCACTAAACCGAACGGCCCGGGATAATTCACTTCGGGAGGATGTAGACAGGTTATTTGAGATGATGGAAGGATTCATAGCTGTCAGCAAGGGCGAGGGGAGAGAAGGGAGTTACCCGACCCTCCTCCACTACCGCAGGTTGAGCCTCCGCTACAACAAGCTGATCCCGAGCCACCCCGGCATGAGCCTGCTCCTCCACAGTATCACCCGGCACCACTGCCGCAGTACAACCCGGTGCCCCAACCACGGTACTACCCGGCACCGCCACAGCACGACCCAGTGCCCCCAGCATATCAGCAGGGGCCACCACACGACCCCCCAGTCTATCCCTAGCCGGGTCCAGTCCCTCTTCCACAGGACCCTGCTCCATCCTTGATCGACCCGGGCTACATATAGAGGTACAGGAGACTGAACCCCTCCACCTTTGCAAGGGGATCCTCTTTTAAAGAGGCCAGTACTGGTTGGCGGAGACTGAGAGAGCTTTCAGGATCTTGGGAGTAGTTCCTAAGCAGAGAGTTGCCCTTGCTTTCTACATGCTAGTAGGGGAAGCAGGACGTTAGTGGGAGCTCAAGCAGACCACCCTGCCTACACCAGTCACTTGGGAGCAGTTCCTAGCGGCCTTCCATGCGGAGTATCTCCCTAAGCACCTCCGACACCTAAAGGAAACGGAGTTTATTCAACGGGTTCAGGGAAACATGACAGTATCAGAATATACTCGTAAGTTTCTAGAGCTGGGCCAATACTCCCTGGAGACATTGATGGATGAGGACCGAAAGGCCAGGAGATTCCAGTCGGGTCTCCACCCAGAGATCAGGCAACACTTGTTAGTATTGGAAC